CATCCACCTCACTACAAATAACTCAATCTCGTTTCTTTTTATGGCTGAGTAATATTCCATTGTATATATGTGCCACATCTTTATTCATTCATCTGTCGATGGACACTTAGGTTGCTTCCATGTCCTGGCTATTGTAAATAGAGCTGCAGTGAACATTGTGGTACATGACTCTTTTTGAATTATGGTTTTCTCAGGGTATATGCCCAGTAGTGCGATTGCTGGGTCATATGGTAGTTCTATTTTTAGTTTTTCAAGGAACTGCCATACTGTTCTCGATAGTGGCTGTATCCATGTATATTCCCACCAACAGTGCAAGAGGGTTCCCTCTTCTCCACACCCTCTCCAGCATTTATTGTTTGTAGATTTTTTGATGATTAAAACCAGCTCTTTTAAAAAAGTTATCAGGGGACTTCCCTGGTGGTCCAGTGGGTAAGACTCCACACTCCCAGTGCAGGGGGTCCAGGTTCAATCCCTGTTCAGGGAACTAGGTCCCACATGCATGCCACAACTAAAGATCCCATGTGCTGCAACTAAGACCCGGCACAGCCTAAATAAATAAATATTTTTTTAAACTTAAAAAAAAAGTTCTCAAAAAAACACCCTAATCATCCCAAAATAGCTAAATTGAAGTAATTTAACCATCTTTAAATTGTAAACTGATATACAGGGGTTATTCAACAAAATGATTTAAAAGAATACAGAGTATAGCATATGCTACAAATTAATTAAGCCCCAGGCCTGATTTCTTTTAAACTCTGAACAAATAGTAAGTTTGGGGAAATCTGATTTTCCAGTCACTCTTAGGATCACTGATGCTATTTTATATCTTGGTAAATCACCAAACATTTGTGTTACCTACTACAAAGGATATTTTTTCCTAGTCTGACAGTACCTCCAGGGTTACCTACAAAAATGTGTAATTCTGGTAGCCTGGCTGGTTTCTATAACATTAAAATGTTAGCCTAAGAGGGAGAGGAAAGGATATGGTACAATCTGCTTTTATCAAATAAACAGCAGTTTCCTTCCAGCCAAGTCTCCTGAACTCTGCCCTCTTCATTACTGCGGCAGAAAGCAGCCTTTCTCCTTTGATAACAAAGGGGGGAAACACTAGATTTTTATTGAATTGATTATCTAAACTGAAAGGCAGGGAAACTAGCCTCTTTCTACAGAGGAGAATCAGACTGGTTTAAAAAAATTAAAATTTCCACCCCCTTCTACAGTCCAGGGAAGGAATCCGGGGCAGCTTCAAGGGTCCATGACAATGGTGACTCTCAGACTGCAGCCCGTGTCACAGGCAGACTTTTATCCTGGAGGGAAGGCCACTTGACTTGTGTGGTGCTTGCGCCAGCCCCTAAATGAATAGCGCTGCTCCAGAAGCCTGATGGCTGGGTTTCCTACCTGCAGATGTTTTCTTTTTTACTTGAGGAACCACTCTTGCTGTTATCTGTTCCTGCTGTTAGGCTTTTGTTAGCATCAAAATTATTTTTTGCGACCTCTGCGCCACCCAGGAGGGTAAAAGCTATCACAACCTTTGAGGAGCCGGGGCAGGAGGATAGGATGGAGTCAGTCAATGGAGGGTCCACGCAACACTGATTCTTGAATTAAAAATAAAAGGTTTCAAACTCTGTTCACAGCCTAGAAGTCTTGAAATGCAAGGTTAAACTAACCTAAAAGAAGCACCGTTGGGGGCCGTAAGGGAGAAGCCTGTTTTTCAATTCTGGTCCATGCTTCTTCATTCCTACCAGGTTTATTTGTTTATTGATTCACTCAGACTAACATTTGAGAGACCGCTGACCACATGCTTTCCTTCTGGGAGTCTGGAATTGCAGCACGTGTGAGGCAGAGGCTGCCTTCATGACCAACCCCTAGTGAAAGCCTTGGGTATTGAGTCTCCAGCCACCTTGCTGGTAGAAGGTATTTCACACATGTGATGTAACTCTCTGCTGGAGGAAGAGAGCACCTCCTGAGTTGCCTCCACAGGGCCAGGACTCTTGGAAGCTCATGCCTGCTTTCCTCTAGACTTCACCCCACGCCTTTCCCTTCATGGATTTTGTTGTGGGTTGTCCCGCCGTAATAATAAATCAGGACCGTAAGCATGACTGTATAATGACAGTCCTAGTGAGTCAAGGAAATTGGCGGTGGCCTTGGCGCCCCCTAACACAGCAGGGCAAAGATTTTTATAAGGGAAAACTTATGACTGACGTGACTTGTAAGTGACCAAATATGGAAATGATGAAAAGGCATAACTCGAAGACAGTTATAAGAACTTAGGTGTGTAAGTGACCCCCAAAATGGTATTATTCTATTCAGACAGGAGAAATTTCATTTTATTTACACACACACACATACATACCCAGACACAGTAAGCAGAGACATCTTTAGCTTCTGATGAGATTAAAGCAATTAAATGGAAAATAAATGGGAACGAAAACAGTAACAGCCAACACACAAAAAGCGTTTTTATCTGTGCCAGGCACAGTTCAAAGTGCTTTGCATATGAATTCATCTAATTCCCACAAAACCCTATGAGGTAGGTGCCTTTATTATCTCCATTTTGCAGATGAGAAAACTATGATACAGAGAGAATAAGTAACCTGCCCAGGGTCACACGGCTGGGATTCAAACTCTGGCATTCTGGATCCAGAATCTGTTCTAAACTATGCTATAAAAAGAAAATGATCTAACTAAAAGAAAATGATCTATCTAAAACGATAGCTCATCTTTAGATGAGCTAGCTAAAGAAAACTACTCTAACGACAGAGGAATAAATGCTCTCCCACCCAGGCTTCCCCTTTCTCACTTCTTCACTTTATTTTATAACACAAACGAAAGAGTCTACTTTTAGGCACTGCATGACAACAAAAATACAGTGGTTAACATTCTGGTTTTCTGTATAAACTAAAAACTTCCAGCTATGCCAGGTTTCCTCCTAAGCAGAACACTTAAAAATCAAGTTGTTTATTTAAGATTGTTTCCATGTGAACAGCTACTAAATACACAATTTTTCCTTTAAACCGTCTTAATATACTTAGAAATGTCTAAAAGGAAACAAAAAATTAAATAGCTGGTGTAACAAAAAAAAAAAGGAAGAGGCCACCAAAAATACTTTAAAAGTTGATTTTCTATAATTTCTATTATTTACCAGCCTAACAGCAACATCCTAAAATATCTTAAAACATATGAGATATCTCTTTGTTTGACTTGGGCCAGACAAAATTGAGTTTCTTGCAGAAATCAACCTTGGCCTACAGGCCCCTGAAGCAATAGTATTAGCACGCTTTTCTCCAAACCCTATTTTCCAAAAAATGAAGACAGCAGGCCCACAGCCTTAACTTATTGATAAAGCTTTTAATAAAGTTTTTATCTTTAGAAAATGCTATCTATCCTTTTCAACCAACTGACTGATTTTTTGGTGCAGTTCACAGCAAAGAAGTTCAAAAAGCAAACGCGTCTAGGGAATCAATTCCTGCTGCCTCACCACATTTCAGTTCTGTCCTGAAAGCAGAGTCTCATTTTCTGTTTCCCTTACCAGGAAAATGACTGCTGCGGTTCAAATTCTGAAACGTAATACTGAGGTTATTACTTTTATTTTCACGGTCTCCTGACCAGAAAGACAGTCATACTCCAGTGACTCAAGAATATTTTTTTTCACTTTACAAATGTATCATTCTACTTTGCATGCTCAAATATTCTAGTTCCAAAGTGCAAGCAACTGAAAACTAAAATTTAAAAATACTAATGAAGGTTTCATGAAGAATGAAGTTTAAGCAAAAGAGCGTAGGGTACTTACTACTTCAACAAAATAGAAATGAATGCATGTGAGAGTAGTGCCATTCTCTGTTAACCCTTCATGGCACAGTAACCCCTGAAGGTTTCTGATTAGACCCCTAAGCTCACTGCCCAAACCATTACCAATGACACCAGGTCCGATGGAATTAAGCTGAATACCCCACAATGGTTTATTACTCCCTGCGGGGGGGGATTCTCTGTATGTAGCTCTATCATATATATAGTCTGGTTTTACTGGGAAATAGGTGGGTATATCTAAATGACTCCAGGCAAATACATCCCAGAAGCTGACAAAAAAGAGGACAAAATATAAAGAGTATTCTCTCCCTGTGGGTTTCCACAGGCAAGCATCATGACAAGTAAACTCTCGACAAACTCTCAGGCCCCGCCCCAGACTTACTGAACCAGAATCTCTGTGTTTTAACAAGACTTATCTCCATGCGACTCTGACTCACACTCAAGTTTGAGAACCACTGTCTAGAGAGACCAGATGAACAAGTACATTAAGTCTGGAGCAAGGTTTCTCAACCTGGGCATTACTGACATTTGGGGCTGCATAATCCTTTTCATGAGGGTCTGTCCTGTGCGTCAAAGGATGTTGAGCGCCCTCTACTCACTAGATGCCAGGAGTACCCTCCCCCAGTTATGACAACCAAAATGTCTCCAGATATTGCCAAATGTCCCCAGGGGGAGCGGGGAGCGGGTGGAAGGCAGAATCCTAGCATTTTACACTTGCTGTCAGAGTAGACAATCACTGACACTGCCTGGACTCAGGTTTCCCAAATGTGTAGAACTAGGGCCATGGCAGAAAGAACTGGGGCCTCAGAGTCAGACCTGGGTTCAAATCGCAGTCCTATCATTTACTAGCTACGTGACCTTGGGTACTTACTCAATGTCCTTTGTGCCCCAGTTTTCTACATGATCAAATGCCCGTTACAATAAGATGCTTACACCAAATGTTCCATAAAACTCCCAGCGGGGCCTGGGGCAGCGCCTGCAATTAAATGCATTGCTATTTCTGCAGTGAAACAAATGAATATTCACACCACATGGGACAAATAAAGATTACAAATAGTCTCAACTATATAGGTCAAGCTTTAGCACCGATGAGTTTTCAGGCCTAACACACAAAAAAACAAACAAAAGCACATTTGACTTTTTAAATACTTTGAATTTTGGAACTGCTGATAAGACTAGGTGACCGAACTCACCTCACAGGGAGATGTGAGGATTGGATGCAGTCACGTACATTGGTCCACTTCTGTACTGAGAGAGGAAAGGGACTTTTAAAAGGTTAACTATTGTTATTTCTCAAGTACAAATTCTGATCATGTCATTTGCTTGCTTTGAACTCTTTGATGGTCCCCCACTGCTTGCAAACTAAAGTCCAAATTCTCCTGTCCTTTCCCTCTGCCTGGACGAGGGTCACACAGACCACTCCTCTCTCCAGTGATTTCTCCTCGGGGAGGCTTTCCTTGAAACCCAGCCCTCACCCAAGGATACTCCTTCCTCGGTGTCTCCCCAGCACCCAGGAAGTTGAGAGCACATGGCCATCTCTTCACCACACCACCCAGCCCTTTGGAAAAAACAATTTCAGCATCAGTTTTTTCTACCCACCGGGTCTAGCATGGGCCCAGCACACAGTAAGTGTCCAATAAATGCTTGTTTGATGAATTAGGGTGGTCAGTGTTCTATTTCCTCAACAGGCTGGTTCTATCAGGTCAGAGGCCATAAAATCAATGATTCCAAAGTTATATAAGGGCAGGTGCTATGACTTTTGATCCTTGTTCTATCTCTAGGGCCTGGCACTCAGTAAGTACAGTATTGCTAAATATAGAAATGAGTGAATAAGTAAATGACTGAAGAATATGACACATTTATGACAATGTAAAAACAAACCACCACATCCAACAACAACAAAAACCCCATAGCCGTGTGCTTTCGTAAATCTCATGAAGGGTAGCACCTCCTGAAAAGAGTGTCCTACCTTCCAGGACGGTCCATGGGCCTGAAACACAAATTAGAAACCTGAGGCCCCTACCCTCGCCTGGTCCAGTCATCTGCCAGGACCCTGCTGTGCCCCAGTGACAAAATGAGCTGATCTAAGGCTCCCCCAGAACACTTCAGTCCCAGAGCAGCTAAGTAATCACTTTCCATAAAACATTAATCAGCACTGCTCCTGGCCAATAATCTCAAATATTCGGCGACTGACCCAACACACGAATCATGAATAAAATATTTTACCGAATAAAGACAGATAACTTGTATAAAGCGTTGCCTGCATCTATGTTCATATCATGCAAATATCATTATTCTGTCCTTTGCCTGTTTTTACATTCCCCTCTTCTCCCTGTGGCTCACGCATCCCTCTCTCTCCCATTCCCATCCTGGTGACGCACCCACACCCAGGTCCCACCAAGGTCAGCTACATGTAAATTGCCAGGTCACAATAAACTCACTCAAAAGCAAAATGCAAAGGTCAAAGAGGCCCTGAGGGCTTCAGGTTTCCTCTTTCCATTTGGGACAGGCCCCCAAACGTACTTACTTCAAATGTAGATTACAAAAGGCCTCCAGCTTTAAGAGAACAGCAGCACCTTCCTTCTTCCAGAAAGCCTTTCCACTTTTGCAATATCACCATTTAAGACCACTCCTTGCAGCAAGGAAACGCAGTTTCTCTCAGTAACATCAGTCGTTTCCTCCAAATTCCCACAGTAAAGCCACTAACCTTTTAAACTTTTAGGGTTTAAAAGAATGCCAAAGTTTTAAAACAAATAAACCTCTCTCCAATCCAATCACACAGCCCTGGGAAGACCAAAGAGCTGGACTGGGGAATCCTGGGGTGCATTTGTGGCATCACCAGTATTTCTGTGCCTCTCCATGGGCCTCAGTTTCCTCTTGGATAGAATGAGAAAATCGCATCAGATCAGTGTTTCCCAAAATACGGTGGGCAAGACGTCTTGTTACAAGATACATTTGACTTTAGGTGACACAGATGAACATGTTTTAGCTTTTAGTTTAATTTCTTATGGCAAGTGATAACCGGTTTTCCATTAATAGTGCAAATATCAAGTTATCTTAAAAATAAAAGTATCTTTCATTATTCTTATTAAGTTTTTTCTTAAGAGAGTCACTTTTAGAAAAAAAAGAAACTATTTTGTAAATAACAATTCAGGTGGTCCGAGCTGCTGTGATAAAATAACTGATCTAGGGACCTGGTGTGCGCGACACAGAGGTGTAAACTCCAGCGTAAAGCAGAAAGAAGACCGTTGAAGCCCCGGGAGGTTTGTTGCAAGAAGGGAATCACTGGCACCGGGTCCCGCGGTAACCGGCCACCAGTCCCGGCTCCCAGAGAAAGCGGCTCGGAACTGACCGAGGAGGGGACGCATCCAGCTCTGGGAGAAATCCCACAAAGGAGAGTGCGAGGGGGGGCGGGAGTCCCAGACTGGAGGGACGTGGCGGAGATGCGGGTCTCGGGCTGGCAGAGCGCAGTGGACGCGGGAGGGACAGGTGTCCCGGACTGAAGGTACGAACCAGGTACGGCATACCGGGCGGGAGGGGCGCGGTGGGGGTCGAGACTAGGGAACCCAAAAGCGGGAACCCTGGACGGGGGTGGGGCCCAGAGGCCAGAAAGGTTGGCGGGGGCGACAGGCCGCGGGACCCGGGGGCCGTGGACGTCCCCACGAGAAAAGCGACGAGGCCGCCGACCCCACGGTCCCTACACCCGGTCGCCGGCGGGAGTCCGGGCCGCCCCCGTCGCGCCTCGGCCCCGCGCTCGACCCGCCGGCCCTACCTGTCCTCGCTGGCTGTGATCACGCCGTCCTCCTTGGGGATGAGCAGCGCGGCCGTGACGGCGTCCTGGTGCCCCTCGATCTTGCTCAGCAGCACCGGGCGGCTGCTCTGCGGCCTGGAGTGGATCTCGGCCGCCATGTTCGCACAGCGGCAGCGGCGGCGGCGGCGGCGGCGGCGGCGGCGGCGGCGGTCTTCGCGGCGGGCGGCCCATCAGCTGATGGCCGGGCGGGGACCTGCAGGTTTCGCTTTGGCTCCTCGGCGGTGAGTGTGCCGCACCGCCGTAAGCTCCCGAGTGCTGCCGCCAACGATCGTATTGGCTGGGGAAGACGCGCAACTAAAATTACTTGGCGGAGAGAGAGAGAGGCCCTTAGGGATTTGCCCGAGACGTGGTGAAACTCACAAAGGTTGAAAAGTAAAGTCATTCACCCAGGAGTGGATTGAGCAGTTGGCGGCGAAGAGGAATTGTCCCCCAAACCAGAGCCTTGGGAAAATAATACTACTACATTGTATCCATTCTAAGAAGCCTTTGTTTGGACCACAGCTCCATTTCAGACATGATAAAGTGTGAAAAAAATGAGTGCAATTTAGAATCTTTGAAAGGCACTCATTGAGGGGTGACTATATACCAAGCACTATCCCAAAATCTTTACACGGGTTATCTCAATACTGATAACAACCATAAGAGGTGGAGAGGTAAGTGCTCTTTTAATCTCATTTTGGAGATGAGAAAACTGAACCATGGAGAAGTTAAATCACTTGCTTAAGGTCACAAAGCTATGAGAAAGAGAAAAGCAGCCCTAGACCTCTAGGAGCTGGCCTGGTACTGTCAGCCAGACTTGGGTGTTGCTAAGAGCTGGCTGGGTGCTCACAGCTGGTTCCTGTGGAACATAAACGTCACTGAACCGAACTTGGGTCCATTAGGCCGCAGCGCAGCAAAGCCAACCTACTGACACCAGGTGGTGAAGGAAAGTACAGCGTTTATTTTCAGGGCACCAAGCAAGGAGAACAGGCAGCGTGCTCAAAAGACCCAACTCCCTGATGGCTTTCAGGGAAGGGTTTTTAAAGGCAACATTTGGGGTGCGGGTTGCAGTTTGTGGACTTTCTTCTGGTTGGTTAGTGGTGAGGTTACGAGTTATGTTTCAGAATCTTAAACATCAACCTCTGGTTCCAACTAGTCTGAAGTCTATGTGCTTTTGGTCAGCCTGTAGTCACCATCCTCCACCTGGATGGGGGGAGGGGTGTCTTAGTTTCTGCAGAATAGCTCAGAGATATGCATCAGACTGCTAGTCTCTTCCTTGAGGAGGAACAAGTACTCTGTTTTATGGCTAAACTATTGTTTAAGCTATCATTACTTTCCTTGCTTGACTGCTATTCCTTTGTTTCTATGTTCCTTCACTCCCCTAATCAGTAGCTGAGTCTGCTCTTTGGAACTCAGGGAACACCTAGTGACTAAAGCCTTTTTCTACCAACAAGAAACTGGGGACATGGAAGGGCTTTTTTGTCCTGCTTGGTTTCAATCTCCCCCTTTTCTTTAATACACCTCAATGAGAAACTTTCAATACAGAGACACTTCATTTAACATTATTGTGCTCCAACTAGATTATTAGATCATTTATTAGATTATTTCTCTCAAGTAATGGGATATTGCAAAAATACAGTTCCCTGTGCTTTCTTCCATTCCATTTATTTGATTGATATTCCATGAATTTTCAATACTTCACATTGCAGTGTAATAAAAAGACCAATCACAATCCCCTCTCACCTTTTCTTAGATAACTTGCTTCATCCAGAAATTCATCAGCTTGTTTTGTGATATGTACCAAATCCCTCTTTTCTTCTCTCCCTCCCTATAGGGAACCTTTTTACAAGCTGGAATGAACAGTTCAGATTCTTCCTCTTGAAAAGTTAAGCTAAGAGACCTAAACTGTTGTATGACCTGTCAAAGAAAAATAACAGCTAGACAGTAGTTAATAACAGATTTTATTTAGGAACTATTGTAATGAGGGAAAAGGGACCCCAGCGTACAACTGGAATCAATTCCCAGTATAGCATGGACAAGTGTGGATTTGAAGCCAAGGAGCAGGGTGGGTGGTCAGTGGGTGGAAAAGTACTAAGAGGAAACATCAGGGGTAAAGGAGGAGTCTGGCTAAACCAAGTTGACAGAACTCTTGCAGAAGGCAGGCCAGCGTGATCAGACATCACTGGAGGATAGAGAGGCTTATAAGTTTGATTAGATATCAAGGGTGATGAGATAATGAAGATGGGGGAGCCTCTCTAGACTGACTTAACAGGATTCTTGCTGAAACTGGGTGATGCAGGCCTGTCAAGGGGGGGGGACACTGGAACCTAAGATCAAAGGCTTGTTGAGGAGAGGGCTTACAGCAGCCTGACTGAACTTTGGTCAAGGGAGAATCTTTGCCAGATCCTAACATCAGAGATTCTTGAGCTAAGTAGTAACATGTTTGGGTCTGTGTTTCAGGGAGATGAATGTAGGTGAGATGTGTAGGTGAGATGTGCAAGGGAAGAGAGGAAGGTAAAAGACGGATTACAATGAAGGCTGATTACAATAACCTGGGAGAGAGGTAGCCTAAGCCATCAGGTAGCTGCTTTCAGTCTAAACTGAAAAAAGACTTGGCAACTAGACAAAAGAGGGTGTTTGTGGAAAAAGGAACAACTGAAGACATAGGAGCCCAATCTGGGTGAGGAGGGATTTTAACGCCATTAACAAGTAGAGACACCACAGAAAGAGGTGCCCCTTTCAACATCTAGATGTTCTGCACCCAACTCAAAATTTGATAATTCAGACAAGATTTCCCTTGTGATTTAATATTAAATTTAAAATATATATTTACAGTTTGGTAAGAAAGCAATATGATGATATCGCTAAAAAGTGAAAGATTAAAAAAAGACGTAAGTCCACTGTTCCCATCTTGATGTAGTTTTTTCCATTCTTTCCCTTTTTTTTGCTGTAAAAAAGTTTGTACTTAGTTTTTAAATAAAAATGTTTATTTTGGATAAATCAATATGTTTTAGTATAGGGGTCCTAAAACGAAGGCTTCTGGAGACATGCCAGGTAAATATTTTCTCATAAATAGTGGCTAAGACAGGTTGGTAAGAAGTGTTTTCTTTTTTTGAGAATTTAAGTGTTTTCTTTAAACGGGAAACAACTTTTTTGTTTTACTTTAATTAGAACGGAAGGAACGAGAGCAACTGACAGGATGAAGAAACTTTTCCAGAAATTCCTGCACCCAAATACCCAGCAGGCCCTGCTCCCCCAAGATAAATTCCCAGGCGCGCAAAAACACCAACGTTTGCGCATGCGCACTAAAGCAGCCCAGTCGCCCCACCCGCCGCGCGCTGGCTCCGCCCCGACCTCGCTCTCCTACCCCGGTTCCGGGGGAACTGAGTTACCGCGACGCTGGGCCGACCTTCTTCCTTCCGCCGTCCATTGCTTTCTTCTGCGCGATGGCGTCTGGGTTGGTGAGGCTGCTGTTGTGGAGGCCTCGCTGCCTCCTGGCACCGGCCGTACCTGTTCTCGCCCCGCCGATTCGGGGAGTGAAGAAGGCATTCCGCGCCGCCTTCCGCTTCCAGAAGGAGTTAGAGCGGTGGCGCCTGCTTCGGTGCCCGCCGCCGCCCGTGCGCCGGTAGGAGCCGCCTCAGGACGGGGTAGGGGTGGCGGTTGGGGACCCTGGCCTCCCCTCCCCGCAGCTTCGGCCCGGCGGCGGGAAGGATTGCTCATTGCTAGTGCGCTCCTGGCTTGACCCTAGTTGTGCGATAGGGACACCCGCGGGACGTGGACGCGTGGCCGAGGCAAAGGGAATGGTGGATTTCTGCTAAGGGGTTGGGCGCGTGGCTGCCCGCGACGCTTTCGGAACTCCCATTTAGAATCCGAAAGTTGTGGAAAAGTTGTGAGAAATGAGGCCGGCTGGAGGGTAATCTTTATCTGGGCTTGGGTGTTGTAGCCCCTGCTTTGTGATGATGCCTGCGAATTCTTTGGGTACGGACAAGAGGGAAGAAAGCACTCTACAGTATTGCGATTTAGGGCAAGAAAAAATTACACAATCACAAGTCCACTGTCCAGAGGAAAAGGAAAACGGTTTGGCTTTAGGTTTCTGCCGAAATTAACCTTGTTCCAGTAGTAGAAAATCTGGTAGGAATAGACGCAGATCTTTATAGCTTCAAAAAAGACCCTACTATGCATGAGGTTTTGCACCTTTTTCTCTTTAATAATGTGTCTTTGACATGTAGTTGTGGCTGTACAGGTTGATGCACCGCACTCTTTTATGACTCCATTTATGGTTGTTTGATTTCCATACTGTTGCTATTACAACCGATGAAACAGTGTACACCTGTTAGTTACATCGATGTAACAGCTTTGAAGTTATTACTGTTTTGGAAATTTCGTATGAAAATTTGATAGGTACTTTAATGTTGCCCTCCAAAAAAAAAGGTTGATCCGGTTTATACACCTACCAGGAGGTGTATACGTGTTCATAGTCCTGTATACTCTCCACACAGAATATTAAGTTCTTTCTAAAAAGAAAAATAAAATAATGTTTCTTCTTAATTCACATTTGATTATTGTGAGGTTAGTCACTTTAGGCTTTTATAGGTGGAAGAAACTTTATGGATTGTATAGATTATATACATCGTATGACTTACAGCCCATATCTTTATACTTTGCTGCACTTTTTTACTTAAAAGAGTTTTATTTTCGATTTATTGTCTTTATTTTTAAAAAGACCTATTAATAATTCTTGAGAATGATTATGAACTTTTAACTTATTTGTAATATTGATACTAGATTATTTAATTGCTCATTTAAATGGTTGTTTTCAAAACTTAAAATAATAAAATACAAGATAAATATAATATACTTACTGTTTATGGGTTGACCCTATGAAATTATAATTTGTATTTCATATCTAAGTATGAAGCGTAGTCCCATTTAGAGCAGAAGTAAAGAACCTAAAAGTTAGGATAATGGCTTAGTCTCTGATGTTGAAGAACCACTTTGATGTGGCATTTGACTCAAAGGGAAAATTAATCTGGCAAAGAACCACAAGTAATCATGTGACATAAGTTTTAATTTTCAGAAAATCAGAGTCTGGAATTTGAATGAAACTCAGTATTTTTAAATCTTCTTTATATAATTAATAAAATTGCATCACAATGAAAAATGTTTGCATCATAGTAACATCTTGTTGTTCTCTTTACCATCTATCT